ATCACAGAAGTTATTCAGCAGATAATGACGTCACAATATAAAAATTCCTACCGTTTAACCGGAGTTCCATTACATAGTCTCTAAATCCATTTTATGTTGCTAGAATAGAAGAATGAACCTGAGTAATATAAAAAGAGGTTTACTTTGGCTCCTGGTTCTGCAACTCCCAACATCTTGCTGGCTTCTGGTGAGGGCCGTGGGCTGCTCCCTGCACTGCTGAATGTGGAAGGTGGGTGGAGGAGAAAACGAGAGGATGACAGCATTGTTCTAAAACAATCCAGGCAGGAGAGGACGGACTCAGTCTCTACAATCTCCCAGTACGGCTACATTGGCAAACAGGCTTCAGCATGAGTTTTGGGGACAGCAAACCATGTCCAAGCCCTAGAACAAAGGAGTAGAGTCTGAAGAGACCCCTCCCAGAGCTCTCCGGGAAGGAGGAGTCACTGAGGCAGCAGCAATTGCAACAGGAAGGCACGGCGCTTAATGGGAGGGCTCAGGAGCCAGCTACTTCTAGAAAAACCCACGGCCCCTTAAAAGGAGCCCTGGAAGTGGGGCTCACGAGCAGGACATGAAGCCAAAATCAGCATTGGTGACAAGGCCTTGGCCCATTCCCCGCCACTTGCTCGCCTCCCTCTTGGTGCTGCCGGAAGTCCAGCTTCCTAGGGCTTGCAAAGTCACTTCTCTCAGGCTCATTTCTGGTCACTCTCCTGCCTCGCTGCGCGTGCTCCCCTTTCCCCACCTGCCTGGGTGGCCAGGAAGCAGTAGACAGAGAGCACCAGGCTTAGAGTGTGGGCCCTCCCCCACCCCAGCCCTGCTCTGCCTTTGTCCCCTTGTGGGAAAACATGGCTGCCTGGGGTGAGCTTCCCTGCACACACTGACCACTGCCGCCCTCAGCCTGACTCGGAGGACAGCCACAGCCCCCTCCAGCCGCCTGCCTCCCTCTCCCACTTTCCCTCTTCCTCCATCCTTTTTCTGCCCATTCCATCAGCACTAACCATGGCCGCCGGGCATGGAATAGCTCCTGGAGACTTCTGTGCCCAGGGGTTTACAATGTAGTGAGACAGGCAGACATTCAAAAACCACAGCCGTGTATAGATACCGGCAAAAGGAGATTAAGTGCAGGGAGGAAGCCGGGTGCTGGGCAGAGGGCTAACAGGGTGGATCGCACGTGGGTGCCCTGGGAAGGGCTCTCGGCGGGAGTGATAATTAAACTCAGTGGGAGGGACAGCGCTTCTGGCAGAGGGGACTGCCAGGGCAAAGGCCCCAGGCAAGCTCAGCGTGCTCGAGGAGCTGGAGGCGTGCCGGGGCTGCGGGGGCCCTGGGAGGGAAGGGAAGATTGACGGAGGAGGAGCCTGGGGAACGGGCAGTGAGGACGGGCGGTGCAGTCCCACAAGCCGCAAGAAATCACAGTAAGCGGTGGAGGAAGTAAGTCGAAGTGCACTTGAAAAAAATTGCGTTGGCGGGGCGGTGCGGGTGTGCAAGGAGGGCACGGGGTCTCTCCTCTGTGCGACGGAAACCCCAAAGCACCAGCCTTAGCGCCGGCCTCGGAGAGAGACGCAGGAAACCCCAGGGACACCTGGGGAGTCGGCAGGCAGGGCGGGGATGGACGCAGGGATTTTACCTGTGTCCAGTGTTCACCACCCTGGTGGTGGTCGGGGGAGTGGTGTCACATTCCCACGACTCTAGGAGGCCACGCCCCGTCCAGGCCGGGCGGGCGTGGCCTCAGGAGCCGGTGGGCGTGGCCCTGAGCCCCGGGTGGGCGTGCTCCGGGGCTTCTCCGCACCTCCAGCGCCCTGCGGGTCTCCCAGGCTCCATGGGACGGTGCCAGAGAACGCGCTGGCATGGAGCTCTGCGGAGAGATCCAGGACACTGCCAGCCCCATCCTGCAGGGTCCTCTTCCTCCTCCAGCCTCTGTCCCTTTCGCCCTCCAAGTAGCAAGGTCACTGCCCAGCCTCACGCCTGGAGAGCCGAAACCGACTCTGTTGATCAGATCGGACTCCCGCCCTTTTGTCTCAGGGGCTGGGCCCTCTCTGCGCTCTGGAATGGCCTGCACCGTGTCCGTTCCTGTCCATTACACCCTGGTGCACTTGCTGCATCCGTCCCCAGGGCCAGCGTCCGCCTTGCTGCCTGTCGTCAGAAACACTGTAAAGCTTCTATTTTCTCTTCCATCAGCAGCCGATTGCACCAAGTTTTCCCACTTGCAAATCATCCAAAGTGGCACATTGACTGCTGGAGCACCTCCCTGGTCACCTGGAGGGACCAGGACCCTTATCTGGCCCCCACAGCTGCCTGCTGCTGGCAGAGGTGGGCCAGGGGAGCATTGGGGCCCTGGGCTGTTGCAGGGTGTGGGCTCTGTGGGACTGTTGAGGACATCATGGCCACATTGCCTGGGCTGACATGGCAGGTGCAGGCTGAGTAACCTCAGGGGAAGAAGTTAGGGCACCCAGGGGGAGGTTCAGGAAGGAGGTAGACTTGATGGAGGCTGAGCCGGGAGGGGGGAGGGGTTCTGATAGGGAAAGGGAGGAGGAGGTGATGGTGAGGGGCGGAGGAGGTGATGAGAAAGACATTCGGAGAAGGGGAGGATGGGATTTCTGGGGGAGGGGTGGGAGACAGGTGGGGTCTGCTGAGGTGGTCCTGGCTGAGCGAGGGTGCCAGGTAGAAGGGCTGCTTGGACAGGTACCAGCCCAAGGGAGATCCAACCTCCCCATGTCATCTTGGATCTCACTAGTGATCAAAGATACTGGGTGTCAGGGGGGAGCCCTCAGGCTGTCTCACCTGTAGGGCCTTTTTCAGACCCTGGTCCACAGCGGTGACCGAGGGAGAACCTGGACAGGAGGGGGACACGACACAGCCTTTTCCAGGTGCCAGCTCGTGTTCTGTGCCTGCCAAGACTCCGGAGCGACCCTGGGGAGGAGCAGTCTCATCAGAGCACAGAGCTTCTTCCAGGGAGTGGGGAGGGGCAGCATAGGGACAGTGGGCAGGGCCTGGGGGCTCCGTGGCAGAGAGTGGGACTCCTGCGAGTGGACTTCGGAGACCGCCCCAAAATAGGGGAGAGGCCACAGCTATTCCCAGCAGCCAGCCTGCGTGGTCTCAGTGTCCACCAGTCTTGACCGGGGTGTCCGCCAGGAGGCTGGGACATGGGCTGAAACCGGCCGCCCCCACTTCTCCGGAGGGGACCTCCTTTGCACAAAGGCTGGGTGTGGCCAGTCCCCAGCCCCTCCCTTCTTTCCTCCCTGTCTCCACTCACTGAGAGATCAGCAGACCAAGAGGGCTCGGAGGCTGGTTTGCTGTTCCCCAGCTCCCCTCCCCTCTGCAGGAGGCTGATTCAGACTCTACCCAGAAAGCTCCCCTCCCTTTCCAGTGGAGCCCGGGTTTGGAGGAGTGGGAGGACAGAGTGGAGTCCGGCCGGTTGGCTGGGGAAATCTCGCAGGGCTGCTGGGTTGGGAGGAAGGATTCTGAACTTGGCTTTCCACAGGTGTGGGCTTCCAGCAGTGAGCAGAACCTGCACACAGCCAGCCACATGTGTGAGAGCCCAGGGAAGGGGCTGTGGGGGGCCTGGGAGGAGGGGCCTGTGCAGAGCCCCTCCCCCCAGCACACTCAGCTGCTCGGCAGCTGGGCGCTGTCCACCGCTGGGCAGCACCGTGGCCCCTGGGTCGCATTTCCCGCACGCCTTCCTGTAGTGTGCGCTTCCTGGGCCCCGGGGCTGGGCACCAGGCACAGCTCTAGGCACGGGAAATAGAGCAATGAGGAGATCAGATGGCCTCCTGCCTTGTGGCAGCAATTATAACAGGCGATGTCTGATTGTGATAAGTATGATGGAGTTTCAGCAAACAGCTGGGGACACAGAGAATGAGGATGTGCATGAGAGAGAGAGGGAGAGGGAGAGGGAGAGGGAGAGGGAGAGGGAGAGGGAGAGGGAGAGGGAGAGGGAGGATTGGAGGTGGGCAGGACTCAGGGTTTTGCCTGAAGCTGTAGGCAGGACTGCATTTCCCATTGTAGGAACCAGGGGGATCCCACCGGGAAGGCTTGCAGGGAGCGCTTAATTGATGGACTTGCTGGAGATGCAGAATCAGACCCAGGAACCTGGGAACAGGAGGCTGGGGGTGAAACCAAAGAGAGCCCCTGAGGGGCGGGGACTGTGCAAGAGAGGGCGGGGCCCTGGGCTCCCTGGTGGCTGGTGCTGTCCTGCCTCAGGGCCCAGGGCCCAAGGTGCAGGTGGCTCCATGCAAACCCCCAGAAGGGTGGGCCTCCCCTGCTTCCCCCGCATCACTGGTGTCCCCTTGGGCTCCACATAGGCTCCTCCCAAGAGATTGTGTGGGGACCACGCTGGTGGGGGTGGGACCCGCGGGCCCTGGGGGCAGCTAGGGTTCCAAGCTGGCTCTGGGCAGCTCTCCGTCCCATGCCCCAACCTCAGGATGAACTGCCTGCTGCCGGAGACACAGCCGGCACAGGCGTCCAGGCCTCAGAGCAGCATGTGGGGAGGAGAGAGCTGCACTCTGGGTTCCTCCCGAGACAGCGAGCACAGGCCTGCCCAAGGCACAGCCACCCTCAACACCTCCAAGCCCTATCCAGCCCCAGACACTCCACTGCAGCTGCCCGCAGCCGGGTGTCCCACACCCCAGCCTCTTCCCTGGGCCAGCGTATCCAGGCAGCCCCTGTGGTGCCTTCCTCAGGAAGGCGTGGGGTCCACCCTCCTCAGCAGGTGCCGCGTGAGACTCCTCCGGGAAGAGCCAGAGGTGGATGAACCATCCCGAGCTGATGGTGGCCCGCGATCCTGAGCCCTGCTCTCCTCCTGCATGGCTGTGGCCTCGGGGGGCTCCACCTAAGGGAGGTAAGAGCCAGGCGCTGACTTGGGTGCTCCCAGGGAGCGCTTTGTGCAGCGGCTCCTTTGACGCGGGCAGGAGAAGAGGAAACAGGCTCAGCAGGCGAGTGGAGCCCACACCTGCAGGTGGGAAGGAGCGCCTCCCCGAGGTCTAACCCGGTGGTGCACCTTCTTCCAGGTCTCTGGACATGCAGTAACCGGGAAAGCCCCCAGGGGGCGCTGAGCAAGCTGAGGATGTGGAACCAACGACCCGGCGTAGGAGCGAGCCCTGGTCACTGCAGAGGTGAGGGGCATACAGGGGGCTGTGCGGGCTCCATCAGCACCCTGGCAATGGTAACCGTGAGGCGGTGACATCACGGGGACGGGGCGATGACAGCTGGGACCCCTGCTGCCACCTGCTTCCAGCTCGCATCTGTCCCCTCCCGTCTTCCTCCCTCTCTCCTCCTCTTCTCTCCCCAGGTCCTGGCTCTGCCTCCCTGACTGGACCCCCAGCTGCCAGCCCAGCCGGAGCCACGAGGGGCGGAGCCTCCCCAGCCCCCGCCCAGCGGGGGATGCCGCCTCCTTCGGATCTTTTTGCGGTCTGGGCTTGCTGTTCCTCTCAGCAGTAGTCAGGAAGCCCTTACCCCAAAAAGTATCTGCGGGAGGCCTCATCTGCAGGGGAGACCCCAGAGGGCGCCAGGCAGTCACACACCAAACCCGGGAGCTGCGAGTGGAGCCGGGACCTCCAGCTATTATCTCGTGCAGCTGAGCGGGCTCAAGTCAGCACAGAGGCTCTCTGCGCCCCCATTTTATGCACACTTTATTTTTGTAAGATTTATTTTATTTATCTGAAAAAAAAAAACAGAATGACAGAGCAAGAAGGAGATACCAAAAAGCGATCTTCCATCCACTGCTTCACTCCCCCAAATGGCCACAATCCTGGCCACAAGCCAGGAGCTTCTTCCAGGTCTCCCATGTGGGTGCAGGGACCCAAACACTTGGGCCATGTTCCTCTGCTTTCCCAGGACACAGCAGAGAGCTGGATCGGAAGTGGAGCAGCCAGGACTCGAACCAGCGCCCATGTGGGATGCAGGCATTGTAGGCAGCGGCTTAATCCTCTGCCGCACTACAACACCAGACCCTATTATGCATCTTTATTTGTGGGCAGTGCCTAGTGGGAGACCCTTCAAGGCAAGCAGAAACCAGGGTTGCTCAGTTATAGGCCAGGAAGACTGCTTGGTGGACATCCGCAGCGTGGCCCTCCCCAAATCCAGGCTGCACCTGGAGATGACGTCCCTCTCAGCTGCTCCTGGGGGCCCGCCCATCCCACATCACCGGCACTCCTGGCAGGACTGTCACTCAAGATGCCCCGCCCCCCACTCACCCGCGGCTGGACACAAGACGAAGCTCGGGCTGTGCAGAGGGATACACGTTGGGGAACGGACTGAGGGGTGCTGGCTGATGTGGGTTGAGAAGCTGTCACGTGAGCTGTGACACATGTGTCATGACATCTGCCCTTCCCTGGGCCTTTGACTGTCCCTTCATCCTGTGAGCCACCCGAAACCCTCCAAATAAAAGCCTTGTTGCTGAAGTTAAGTGGAGTCGGCACTGTTGCTTTCCTCTGGAGAGGGGAGGTGGGATTGCGCCCCCAGGAGGGGAGGAGAGACGGGCGGCCTGGAGGACCTGTCTGAGTGTCCCCCGGGGTGTTGGCCCCAGGGGACAGGGCTCCTGCATTTGCATTGGGTTACAGCCCCCAAAGAAGCTTCCCCCCTCCAGGTAAGAACCACGTGGGGATAAAGGGCAGAGGAGGGTCCCATCCCCCCTACTGAGGCTGGGTGGCCAGCAGGTGGCTGCCACGCCTGTGGTGAGGCCATGCAGGCATCCCTCTCATCTCCACCACCAAGAGCACCTGAACCTCTTCACACTCCCTGGCTAGGAAAAGGCCTGGCTCCAGTGCCCCTCCCAGCTGGAAGCCAGGTAAGGCACATGGTGCCCGGCCTCCCCCAGATAAGGTCTCTACCCGTCACAGAGCCACAGCTCTCAGGAAGCAAGGCATCTGGGCGCTTCCTTCCCGCGACAGCTGCTGGATGCAATTCTGAAGTAGCAGGTGAGCCGGCTCATGCCGAGTTCAAAGGTGCTGCAGGATCCTGGGCTTCAGCAGGAGGGCTGGGTGTATGGGTCCTGGAGCAATCACGGCAGGTGTGTGAGGCAAGCTATGGCCCCAGCTGGAGACAGCCAGACATCCGCGGAGAAGGCAGGACTGGGACTGGCAGCACTGCGGAGCTAAGGCCTGTGGCCACCAGAGCTCCTGCTCTGATGCTCCCCTGACCACCCAATCCCACCCAGCTGTGAGTGAAGTGGGGCTGCTCCGCCACCTGTCACCAGCACGCAGGTGAGGAACCTGTAGGCAGCTCAAGGGCGGCACCATGTGGTCATAATGGGGAAGTGCACTGACACAGCCTACAAAGCGCTGCATTGCGCAGCAGGCTTGGGGACTCTGTTGGCTGTTTCTGTTGCTCTCCTAGGGCTGGGTCAGCTTTCAAGGCCAGTTTCTAGTCCTCCTCCCAAACATAGCTGCACATAACCCTTCACATAACCTGTCGGGTTGCAACTCAAAGCCCTGCAGCCTGGGGGACCTGCTGCCCCCAGAGGGGCTTCAGTATCACTCAGAACTGAATTCCAATCCCAGGGCTTCCCTGTAGCGGCTGTGTGAGCTCAGGAAAGTCCTTAACACTCCCCGCTGTGCTTCAGTGTTCCCCTCTGCACACTGGGGGTAATGACGCCCTCCTAAAAGCGCCTTGGGTCCTAGTCAATGAAATAGCATCGCAAGAATGAACAGGAAAGAAGCCCCCAGTGCCGAGCCAGCCCTCGGCTGCTTGTATGAGCCTGTGTCTTCCTGTGTGCTGGGTGCATGCACATGTGCCTGTGTGTTATTGACATTTAGCAATGAGTTGTCTGATTGAAATCAGCAGCAGCTGCTTGGCCCCCGACCTAGCCCCCTAGACACGGTGCCCTGGGGACTGTGCCCTGTAGGGAAGGCAGCCTGCCTGCTCCCAAGTGAGCAAGGAGCTGGCCCCAAGATACTTGAAGACGGAGGAGGGGGCTGTCTCACCAGCTCTCCCCAGGGCCCTGGGAGCAAGGCGGGAGAGCAGGAGGAGCTGTTCTCGCCTCTGGGGCATCACCTGAAGCAGGTGGGGCCGTGGAGAGGGCATGGAAGGGGCTTCAGGGCCTGCCAGCCGGTGGTGGGCAACCTGAGATGGACTGCCAGGCTCTGGGAGGCAGCAGGCAGAGGAATTACCGGCAATGAAATCCGCCTGATTTCCCCCAAGTACCATTTGAATGGAAATGTCAAATGCACCCAGAGTTATTGCACCCTGTAATCCTAATGACATATAATCCTGTAGTCCACTGTGATAACATCACGAGTGTGTCTGGGGAAGCAGCGGTGTGTTAATCCTGCCCGTCTCCCGGGATGATTTTTCTCATCAAAGCAGAGCCCACCCGTGGCATCCTTTGTTCTCCCCAAAGGTGCCGTCCTCTGGACTGGGCCTGGGGAAATGACAGAAGAAAGTCGAGAGCTCGCAGAAGGCCGGCAGGGCCAGGGCAGGGCGCTGGAGAGCACTTGCAGGACTGGGGCAGACCCTTCGTCCCCTGGAAGTTGCTGACCCAAATCAGCATCTTTGTTCCGGGGTCTCTCTCTCTCCCTCACTCTCTCTCTCCCCTCCTCTTCCTCTGGCTTCATATTTGAAAGGCAGAGTTGCTTGCCTTTCACTCCCCACATGTCCCCCGACAGCAAGGACCAGGCTGAAGCCAGGAGTCCAGAACCCCACCCAGGTCTCCCACATGGGTGTCAGGGACCCAAGTACTTGAGTTTCCACCTGCTGCCTCCCAGGGTGCACAGCCCTAGCAGGAAGCTGGGTCAGCAGCAGAGGGGCAGGGATGCGAACCAGGCACTTTGATGGAGGATGAGGGCTTCCCAAACAGCCTCTTAGCCACTGCCCCAGTGCCCACCTCCTGGTCTCCCTTTTCTCCTACTCCCCTCTATCCGCTCCTCCTCCCACCCCTCTTCCCCCCACCCCACCCATGTGCCCTGTTCTGCCAGGCACAGTCCCAGGAAAGAGGGCTCTTTCTTTGGCAAGCCCCAGCTGGTGGGGAGCGGGGAGAAGCAGAGGGCAGTGTCCTGTTGGGCTGTGCTCCCCAGAGACAGGTGCAGCGTGGGAGGGGTCGAGGCATTCAGGAGAAAGGACAAACACCCAAGATGGAGGCTCCTTATCCCCTGGGCCAGCTCTGCTGGAAATGGGTGATGCCAAGGGGAGATGCTGGGTGGCCAAGGGGTGTACTTTTGCAAGGAAACTTGGGGAAAGACAGAGAAAGAGGGGGGAAGGTAGACCAGATCCTGGGGCTCCCCGCGGGCCTGAGGGGCAGCGAAGCCTCTGGCAGGAGGTGGCCCTGGACAGAGACGAGGCCTCTGGCCCCTGCCCAAGGGTTTGGACACAAGCCTGTTTTCAGTGTCCTCATGCCCCCACTTGTTTGGATGGGGAGGTGGCTGAGATGTTTCTCTGAGTCATGGGATCAGAAGGGCACGTCCCGGATCGCCGGCTGGAAGAACACCCCTCTGGATGCAGCAAAGAAAAACAGACATTTCACTGGGGACCCAAGGAAGGGAAATGCTAAGGAGTTTCTTTCAAGGAAGGGATGAGCTTGAAAAAAAAAAAAAAAAAACCAACAACCAGCACCACGTCCATTGCTACTATGGAAACGTGTGCACAATGCCGCTGGAATCTTGGTTTCTTTTTTCAACTTTGAAATAGTTCAAACACACAGAGAAAACGCAAGGGGAATGGTGCCACCACTAGAGATGGCACATGCAAGCATTCTGCCACATGTATGTAGGAGTATGGCTAAAGACAGACACGTGGAAGCCCTTGTGTGACCCTCTCCTCCTCCCAAGGGGGCAGCCACCCTGGGCCACCCCGGGCCACCCACCTACTCGTGTCACTCATATGCTACGAGCTTGGTTTGCTTCTTAATTTATGTGAGTGGTGTCCCTTGGAAACCGGCATTCTGGAACTTTCTACACATAACATTGTGCTTCCAAGACCCTTCTGTGTGGACAGGCGGAGAACTCATCCATTCCCTCTACCTGCCGAGGCACGTTCAGCTGGGCCAAGGGAGCACAATTCACCCTGTCCCCTGCTTGCTGGTGAACACTGAAGTTTGCTGTGGTTTGAACTCGGAAACTCATGCTGAAATCTCTTCTCCCACCTCCGCTTTCTCTTAGCGTTGTACATTCATCAGCCATAGATTCTTCTAGGGTTTTCCAGAATCTGAATCGGAGGCCAAGAAGGGACATTGGTATGTGTGTGCTGGTGTGGTGTGTGTGTGTGTGTGTGCATGTGTGTCTGTGTAGGTATGTGTATGCATGTGTGTCTGTGTGTATATGTATTACGTGTGTGCATACATGTATATATGTGTGTATGTATGTGTGCATTGTGCATGCATGTGTGTATGGATGTATATGTATACACATGTGTGTGTAGCTCTGTGCCAAGGCCCACAGGGAAGAAGGGCTGAGGAGGGCAGGACTTCCCACCGTGTCTTTCCACCAATGCAGCCAATCCAGGAGGAGGAGGAGGAGCCGGGGGACCCAGCATCGGCCCGCAGGCTGCAGGCCTCTCTTCCACTCCCGCTTGTTGTGAGACTACAGAGACCTGGCCCAGGGCGTCTCCCTACTGTTGCGTCTTTCCTGCTTACCTACCCTGGCCAGATTCCAAACACTGCTCCGAACTGTGCAGACCCGCGAGGGGGTGGAGGCTGGGTGCAGGGGAGAGGCAGCCCCATGTGTTCATCTGGGGTAAAGGGCTCTCTGTCCACACCCAGCACCACTCCTGCATCCGGGCCTGTGGGGCTGGCAGAGCTGCCACAGCCCTAGCCTGGGCACTGACAGAGGAGAGCCGGCATCTCCCGCTAAGGACCCCAGCCCTGAGCCCAGGGCCACGTGACACGGTGCCTGGAGCAACAAGCCTCTGAAGCGGACTAGAAAAAGGGAGGGAGATGAAAGGGCCCACCACTCAACCGACAAAAGAGAGCCAGGAACCTGAGTTGAATGAGAAAAAAGGGAAATTCACAAACAAGCGGGAGCAAAGGGAGCCGGGGGCTTCCACGGGACTTATTTTTTCCCTGACACCTGAAGTGGCGCCTGCCAAAGTTATCTGGAGCGGGCACGTTTGTCCTCTACTCAAAGGACAAACCAAGCCTGAAAACTTGCACTTCCTTCTTCCACTTTTGGTAGTGGTGGCTTCCTTCTGCCTGGAGCGCAGGAGGCTGAGCCATGTGCCCAGGACTCCCAGCAGGGGCCGCCCCCCCCCCCGCCCCACCCACCACCAGCCAATGGGGACTCGCGACAGTGACGTCACTGCATCCCGTCGCCCAGCCCCGCTGGGAGGATGGGACCAGAGTCGGGAAAGAGTTGGGGAGTGAGGGATGCCACCGCTGGTGGCGGAGGGCACATGAGTCAGCAGCGAGTTTAAGCAATGAACAATTGCGCCACGGGTGTTTCTCAAATTCCTGTCTACTTTTAGAACA